GGTCCATCCGAAAGTGCCTTATGCCATTATTTCTTGACTCCTGGGCCTCCTCAGATAACTGCCCAATTGGCACAAGAAAAGGTTGTGTGGTCGTCGAGCCATGGATAAGTTTTTTATGCACCGTTACAGGCAAATAAAACCACGGGTATTCTGTTCGTTCAGTCAACCGGTTACTACAAAGAACACCGAGAATCACATTCTGGGAAGAACAAGGACCACTGTTCGATCAATCAATCGGTCACTGTGAATAACCTGCCGGGGGGAACAGAAACTAATCATAGTTCAGTCAATGTTTGGTCACTACAATAGACACCGGGACTCACCTGCCCCGAGAAACAAGAATCACTGTTCATTCAGTCAACCGATCACTACAATATACAATACGAATCACCTTTTTGTCCAGTCAACCGGTCACCACAAATAAGAATTTGGAATCAAAACTTTTACGCTTGCTTTTACCGCACGCTGAATTGCAATACATACCCTTTTTTTGCATGCCTACTTCGATTTAACACCAAAAGTAAGTGACGTATGAAGGAGCTGCTCTATGTATAAATGCAAGGAAACGATTATCTGTACACGGTTTCCTATAGTTTGGTAATCAGAAAATCGACAGAGAATACTAAAGTAGACTAATGATTTGGTATGCATTGGGTAGCGTTTCCTAGCAACTCCTATCCCTACCTCCCCGTGGTACCGGCCGGGGACTGTGAGCAACCTTAGGGAAGATCGGGTAACCAACCCGGTGGGAGCTTTGGTCATAGGCTGACAGGGAAGGGGAGGTTTGCTGAGCGTCTGTTCTCCAGGAGGAGTGGCTCACAACAGCGTCTGTTCCCCATGTTAGGGGCGGCTGATCTACGTCCGAGTGCCAGTGAAGGACTCTAAGCTCAACTGTGCACCCTGGTCCTCCGGAAAGTTAGGGGGTTGGTGTCAGGCCCTGCGAGCCAGCCGTAAAAAAAGCATTGCAACGGAAAATCAGCAACAGAGGAATACGAACCGTGACCAACGGCAACGACCCCAGCGTCGAAATAGGACTTGCGATTGGAAACTCGGTACGTGGAACTGTCGATCTCTCAATTTCATCGGGAGCACCCGAATACTAGCCAATCTACTGAAGGACCGCGGATTCGGCATCGTAGCGCTGCAGGAGGTGTGTTGGACAGGATCCATGGTGCGAACGTTTAGAGGTAATCATACCATCTACCAGAGTTGCGGCAAACACACGCGAGCTGGGCACAGCTTTCATCGTGATGGGCGAAATGCAGAAGCGCATGATCGGTTGGTGGCCGATCGACGAAAAAATGCGCAGGTTGAGGATCAAGGGCCGATTCTTCAACTTTAGCATAATCACCGTGCACAGCCCTCACTTCGGAAGCACTGATGATGACAAGGACGTATTTTACGCGCAGCTCGACCGCGAGTACGATCGTCAAGATCATCATAGGAGGCCTAAACGCTCAGGTAGGCCAGGAGGAGGAATTCAGACCGACGATTGGAAAGTTCAGCGCCCACCAGCTGACGAACGGGAACGGCCAACGACTCATCGATACGTAGCACCTTTTTCCAACACAGTCTCCCTTATCGTTACACCTGGAGATCACAACAGCAGACGGAATCGCAAATCGACCACGTTCTGATTGATGGACGGCACTTCTCCGACATTATCGACGTCAGGACCTATCGTGGCGCTAACATCGACTCTGACCACTACCTGGTGATGGTCAAACTGCTCCAAAAACTTTCCGTCATCAACAATGTACGGTACCGACGCTCGCCACGGTACAACCTAGAGCGACTGAAGTAACCGAATGTCGCCTTAGCATACGGGCAGAATCTCGAGGCAGCGTTGCAGAGGAGGGCGAGCTCGATGTGCCGACGCAGCCGAGAGCACCATCGGGTGCGTGGAAAGAAGGAGGAGTGCAGAGCGATTTTGGAGGATAAGAATGCAGCGCGGGCGGTAATACTGCAGCATGGAACCCAACAGAACGTGGAACGCTATAAACAGAAGCGGAAACAGCAGACCCGCATCTTTCGGGAGAAAAAACGCTGCCAAGGAGGAAGCGGAGTGCGAGGAAATGAAACTGCTGTGCCGTTCTTAAGAAACACGGAAGTTCCACCAGAAGCTCAACGCATCCCGCAACGGCTTCGTGCCGCGAGCCGAAATGTGAAAGGATAAGGACGGGAGGCTCTTGACGGACGGACGTGAGGTGATTGAAAGGTGGAAGCAGCACCTCGATGCGCACCTGAATGCGAGGAGAACGTAGGCACGGGAGACCAGCGCAATGGAGGAAACGACTACGTCAGTGCAGCAGAGGACGGAACTGACCCAACTCCCACGCTGAGGGAAGTTAAGGATGCCATTCAGCAGCTCAAAAACAACAAAGCAGCTGGTAAGGATGGTATCGCAGCCGAACTCATCAAGACGGGTCCAGATAAGTTGGCCACCTGCCAGCACCGGATAATAGTCAGGATCTGGGAAACAGAACAGCTACCGGAGGAGTGGAAGGAGGTGGTAATCTGCCCCATTCACAAGAAAGGCAACCATTTGGAATGTGAGAACTTCAGAGTGATCACCATTTTGAATGCCGCCTACAAAGTGCTATCCCAGATCATCTTCCGTCGTCTATCACCTAAAATGACCGAGTTCGTGGGAAGTTATCATGCCGGCTTCATCGACGGCCGATCGACAACGGACCAGATCTTCACCGTACTGCAAATCCTTCAGAAATGCCGTGAATACTAGGTCCCAACGCATCATTCGTTCATCGAATTTAAGGTGGCATACGACAGTATCGACCGCACAGAGCTACGGAAAATCATGGACGAGAACGGCTTTCCTGGGAAGCTGATCAGACTGATCAAAGCAACGATGGACGGTGTGCAAAACTGCGTAAGGGTTTCGGCTGAACTATCCAGTTGATGCGAATCTCGCCGGGGAGTGCGACAAGGTGACGGACTCTCATGCCTACTCTTCAACATCGCTCTAGAAGGTGTAATGCGATGAGCCGGACTCAACAGCCGGGGTACGATTTTCAAGAAATCCGGTCAATTTGTGTGCTTGGCGGACGACATGGACATTATCGCAATAACATTTGGAACGGTGGCAGAACTATACACCCGCCTGGAACACGAAGCAACAAAGGTCGGACTGGTGGTGAGTGCGTCAAAAACAAAATACATGCTAGTAGGCGGAACCGAACATGACAGGATTCGTCTAGGAAGTAATGTTACGATAGACGGGGATAGTTTCGAGGTAGTGGATGAATTCGTTTACCTTGGATCCTTACTGACGGCTGACAACAATGTGAGTCATGAAATACGAAGGCACATCATCAGTGGAAGTCGTGCAGTCGAAACTACGGTCAAAAAAGATTCACCCCCGCACCAAATGTACCATGTACAGAACGCTAATAAGACCGGTGGTTCTCTATGGACACGAGACATGGACTATGCTCGAGGAGGACCTGCAAGTACTTGGAGTTTTCGAGCGACGTGTGCTAAGGACGATCTTCGGCGGTGTGCAGGAGAACGGTGAGGGGCGGCGAAGAATGAACCACGAGCTCGCTGCACTCTACGGCGAACCCAGCATGTTGCAAGAATGCCGGACAACAACATGTTCGCTACTGATCCGGTTGGCACAAGAAGACGTGGAGCGCAGAGAGCACGATGGGCGGACCAGGTAGAGCGTGATTTAGCGAGCATGACCGAGGATGGAGAGCGGCAGCCGCAAACCGAGTATTGTGGCGTACTATTGTTGATTTTGTCTTATCTTAAATGTGATGTTGTACAAATAAATGTATGTTTGTAATGGGTAGCGTTTTAAGTATGCTTTTAAATGTAATAAGCCTGGTTAGCCCAATTTTGCCCAACTTCCAGCTGTTGGCCTTTGAAATAGTGAGAATTTTGGGTCAAAACCTTGAATATCTTAAGAAATATAAAAGATAGGAACTTGCCCATTAGTCTGACTGGTGTGGTATATCAATCAAGTGCTCTATTTTCCAATAGTTTGAACTGTTTGGAAAAATGGCTTCAGGAAATACAAAATGGTACAAAACTTTATTAAACGGTGGATTACTCAAGTCCTCCGCCCAAGCCAAACCCGGTAATTGCTCTCCGCTTAGACTCACAGCCGCAATGCTCTGAGGAGTAATCAACTTTCGCAAGTGCGACACAGGCAATAAAGTAGAGCACAGGCAATTCTCATGAAAAAAGCAACTATCCCAGACTGAAGTCGGTTGATTTCACGCTACATTGCGGTCATTTACGAGATGTACCGTGCGGAAAGTTTTCACGCTCGTTTCCCTTTCGCTTGTGCTTGGAGATGAAGATTCTCTGCCACCATTCTGCCTGTCTATAATGAAGCCAAAAGAGCTCCAGCGTATTATTGATGGAGCACGAAGAGATGCGCGGGATGGCAATAGTCTTGCCAGCCCATAATGTGCCACGAACAGCACGAACGACCTTGGATAGCTATTATGGCCTTCTTCAACACAGCACGCCTTCTCTTTGTGCTGGGTTTTGAAATGAAATTTTCCACTCATTCGGTTGAAAAAAATCGATATTTCTGATTCGAGAATTGTTTCAATTTTAACGCCTGGCTCTAATACCAGGAAGACCCTCAACCCTCCCGTGTCTGGTTGGCTGTGTAGATTACTGGTTTCAAATATCGTGACAAACATCCATAAACCGAGCCTGACATGGCAGCTTTAACAGGTGCCTCAGTAGAACTTTGAATCCGCCACTATAAACATCCATAATTCAACGCCACACCGCTATCACCGTCGTAACATGTTCCACACATAGCTCGTAAATTGATGCCCTTCCCCTCAAGCACTCTTGTACCACGAACTTAACCTTGATGTAGACATACACTCATCGACGGTCACGTCGCGTCGTCCAGAGAGTATACCGGGAAATTTGACGTACACTTCAAACTTAACAGAGCCAATCGAATAGAGACAGAGGAGGGAAAGCACACACACACACAAAACAAAACTTACCTTCCACCTTGCCGAGTGCGAGCACGAAAATGGTCTGCACGGCCGGGATGGCCCACGCCACCAAATGGAACAGATGGGACCGGTTCTCGATCGCTTCGTGACCCCACTTGAGGCCGGCGGCGAGGAACCAGGCCAGTGCCAGACAGGCCCACCAGGCGAATGCGGCCATGCTGCAGAAGTAGAGGGCCATGAAGAGCACCGTGCAGGACGTTGACTGGCGGTGGCCCTGCAAAAAAAAATAATGAAACAAGAATGAGGTGAAATTAAAATGTGAATTGATGGTTGGCTAGAACGTAAACAAAGGGGGTTAATCTACCGGTCACAAGTTTCCCAAAATTGCATTTTTTGTTTTGTTTTGTTTGCAAGCCGCTCGGTAATGCATTTGTGAAAATCACGCAATGAACACTGTTATTATGCAGTGGCCACCACGCGATTCTCTCCAGTAACTCTACCTGTACTAATCCTGAAATAAAAGAGTTCATGCATAGTACATAAAGTAAATGTGTATGTTTACTGGAGCTGTTTTTAGATAGATGTAATCTTGCGGTGGCAAGTGAATTTCAGATTTTAAATTTTTGTTTTTCCCGGTTTTCCTGGTTTCTTCTATAAAAATTCCTGGTTTTTTAACAATGCTTCAAATCTATCGGTTTTGCAGATTCCCTATATTCTTCTAAATGGAGAAACATGTTAAGTATATTATATATGTATTTAGTAAAATACTTCAGATGATATGCTTCGTATGCATACTAAACTGGTTTGAAAAAACAGAAGTAAAATAATTATTACCTTAGGTTTATTCAACGTTCGCTGTTCGGGTGTCGAACCAGATAGTAAAATATATTTAAAATACATCAGTGCTCATCCGGTTCATGTCAACAAGTTAAAATTAAATTTTGACAGATACAAATCCATTAACTGAGTATTTGTTTCAGTCCAAGGTTTTTCACTTAGCTAACGTCTACTGTAATCAAGCGGCTGAAGACCAATTGCTTGACCTTCACTCAAGCCTTAATCCTGGTTTAACTAAATGGGTACATTAGTCCTCGACGATATTGACATTTATGTCATTAACACTCAGAACACGAAGCCTTCGGTAAAATGTGTAACGGCGAACTTGCAATGTTTGGAAAATCACAGCTCAGCCAGTTATTAACAAATTTCTAATTTATTGACACCATCTGAAATTTACTTTAAAGATTAATTCGGGTACAATAGATTTAAAATCCATCGATATATTGCAGAGTAATGATTTTTCAAACATTGCCAATTTGCCGTTACACATTTTACCGGAGGCATCGTGCTTGGAGTGTTAAAAATCAAAACTAGCCCGCAAGCAAATAATGCAGCTATTATTAAATATTTACATCAATATTTAATGTAGAGACGAACCAGCTAATGGCTGAACGTCTCCTTAATAAAGATAATAATAATACTAATAACCCATTTTCCTTAGCCTCCCCTATCGCAGTCGGTAAAGGCGAAGCTATAAAGTAAGACCATGCTGGAGGCGGCTGGGTTCGAGTCCTGGCTCGGTCTAGGAATTTTTCTGGTTGAAAAATTTCTCAACTTCCCTGGGCATGGAGTATGATTGTGCTTGCCACACAATAATACTATTGCAAAAATGGAACAGAAAGCTCTCAATTAACAACTGTGAAAGTGCATCTAGAACACTAAGTTAATCTAGCTATTAAAATTGTTTTAAAATTTTTGGCAATGTTATTTTAAAACATTATTGCGCATTTAAGGGTTAAGATGTTTCATCTGCTCTTCGAGTAATGATGCTTCTTTTTGAGCAGATGCAAGTATTTTTGCTTTTTTAGCCTCCAACTCCTTAACATTAAAGTGTGAGGTTAGGGACCGTGCACTGATTTACATGAGCTTTCATACGAGTTATTTTAGTCAATATGCTTGATTCGTAGTTTCAATAAGAACAAGTTATCTAGGAATAGCTCAAAAGTCAAAAGCTAGAGTTCTATCAAGGGTCGGTACCACTACTATTTCTATGACTATTATAGGAAATCCACGAATACTTTAAAGTAATGAAATTGAGTTGATCATGTAATGCTCAAAAACATAAAAAAGAGTTGGATATGCTTAACGTCAAATATCAGACTAAAGTGGTCATAGAATAGAAAGCGAGCAAAAGTCAATTTTGAGGAAGGCACGAATCGGGTTGATCATCTCTTTCACCAAGCTCCCCTTTGGGGAGGGATGGTGAGGGGTATCTCTCCCCGCCACCACTGGCAAAAGATCATCTCTTTTGCCGTACAATCGTAATCGTATAATTTGGGAAATTTTCGCCCTTTTCGTGTGTGCAATCTTGAGATTATGTAATTAATTTCCTTGAACCTTGAAGTTTACAGTTTTATAATCAGACGCATTAATAACGAGATAATAAATAATGAATAAGAGGCTAAAGCCGTTCGTCTCCGGTCCATGATGGGTTGATAGGTAGGGTCCAAGTGAGGGAGCTGCATCCCTGGTGTCGATAGCATTGGTACTCAGCACGGAAAAAAAAGATCGACGGAAAACATATCAAGGGAAAAATGAATGGCTGTACGCCCAAGGAACAATTTTGGTTTTATAAGGGTTCTGGAGACCATGATTTAGACTTGTAAAATGCTATAAAAACTCTATAAATCTTGCAATGTTACTTGGGCGGGAAAGTGTATTTTTATTTTTGGCTTCATACGACTAGCTAGAATGGAAACCACGCTGGACTAAAAATAATAATAAAAAGTGCTTCATAACCTTATTGTGTTATGGGCTCAACCATATAAAATATGATTTAATCGTTTGTAATATCGTTCGCATATCGCACTGCATAGACCTCTTCGTCAACCGGACTTTCTATTTTTGGAACCACAGAGCAGGAATTATGCACTACATGAGCCAATTCGAGCAATCAGCCGGCAGCTCAACAACTTCTTTGATGTTTCGTCATCGGCTACTTGGGCTTTTTGGTACCGTTGACCTTAACTAATTAGTTTAAGTTTTATTCATTTAGACACTGCACAGTGGTCCAGAATGCAGATTTAGGTGGAATGATATGTTTTGAGCCTGAAACTGAAACTTTAGACTAAAAGTCTCTCCTACAAAGTTATTCCTTATAGTTAGGCCCTCATTTTTATGACAATGAATTCTAGGGTGGTTCCTATTATCATTAAAATCAAAAATCTAACTTTTTTGTTTGATTAAATTAAGGTTTACATTCTTCGGCAAAGTTATAGCTGAGCTAATTTCAAGCAACTTTGTAGAAAATAACTTTTTTGTATCTCTTAAATTGGCCGCTTTAGAGCTATTTTCTTGAGTTGAGTTAGGGTGGCTCTTGAAAAAACAGTTTTTTTGTTCTAGTTTTCTTATTTCAAATTTCTCAGCAAAGGTGTCTTCAGATAACTTTTAGATCTTAAGAAGGCGCAAGTTTTTGCTGCACAAAGCTTGTCAATATCTTTCGCTGATCAAGAATTATTGACATTTTTATACTAAAAATATGCACTTTTCAAATGTTAATATCTCTGGTTGGGGCAAACAAAAAAAAGTTTTTTACGGAATTTGAAAGGGCGTATGTTATTCTCAATAATATGACAAGTATGTATGTTATTTTTTAAACTCGTATAAAATCAATTTTAATTTAGTCATATTTTTTACTATAATTGGGTATATCTTTTTTATTAGAAGAGATACAGGCAACAAATTTGAGTATGAAACATTCGTCTAGAAGAGTTTTAAAATTCTCTAGAAGATAACTTTCATGAGAAATTTCAAATAAAAAAGTTATTGGCAAAAAATGGATTTCATAGGACCACTCTAATGACAAATTTATATAAAATGTGCTAGTACATTTGTTTCAATATTTGGACATTTAGTGTCTTGGAAGAAGTTTTTGTTCTTTAAAATTCCCTTCTTTTGGTGTTTGCAAACGTCAGGGTGGTCCTCAAATTAGGGAATTTTTAAAACTAACTTTTTTGTTTTACAAAATAAAAACATGTGTTGTTTGAAAAAGTTGTAGCTAAGTTAATTGCAAGCAACTTTGTCGAAGAAAATTTTTTTCTATCTCTTATCGTTCTCATTTTAGAGTATTTTTTCGGAGTTGACTTAGGGTGTTCCTGGAAAAAATAGTTTTTTAGCAATAACTTTTTTATTTGAAATTTCTCATGAAAGTTATCTTCTAGAGAATTTTGAAACTCTTTTAGACGATTTTTTTTTTACCGGAATTTGTTGCCTGTATCTCTTCTAATAAAAAAGATATACCCAAATATAGTAAAAAATATGAATAAATTCAAATTGATTTTATACGAGTTTAAAAAATAACATACCTTTAATTTTGTCAAAATATTGAGAATTACATACGCCCTTTTAAATGCAACTTTTTTTTTGTTTGCCCCAACTAGAGATATTAACATTTGAAAAGTGCATATTTTTAGTATAAAAACGTCAATAACTCTTGATCGGCGAAAGATATTGACAAGCTTTGTGCAGCAAAAACTTGCGCCTTCTTAAGATCTAAAAGTTATCTGAAGACACCTTTGCTGAGAAATTTGAAATAAGAAAACTAGAACAAAAAAACTGTTTTTTCAAGAGCCACCCTAACTCAACTCAAGAAAATAGCTCTAAAGCGGCCAATTTAAGAGATACAAAAAAGTTATTTTCTACAAAGTTGCTTGAAATTAGCTCAGCTATAACTTTGTCGAAAAATGTATACCTTAATTTAATCAAACAAAACAGTTAGATTTTTTATTTTAATGATAGTAGGAACCACCCTAGAATTCATTGTCATAAAAATGAGGGCCTAACTATAAGGAACAACTTTGTAGAAGAGACTTTTAGTCTAAAGTTTCAATTTCAGGCTCAAAACATATCATTCCACCTAAATCTGCATTCTGGACCACTGTGCACTGACAGCTGAATTATTAATAAACAAATAAACAAATAATTGTTGTCATCCCAAGGGGTAAGTCACTCAGCACATTGTGCCAAAAATAGATTCGGCACAGCTTGGGCACATCCATCGGCACATATTCAGCACAATATGGTAGGCATTTTATTGTTGTAAATAAAATGGGAGCACTGCTGGATAACTGTCATTGAAGTTGTTAACAACATTACCTGTTGTTTGACTGTATATTCAGGAACATCCTCTAATTGAATATACCAGAGGAATTCAGACCAGCAGTTCACTTATAGATCTAAATACGAAAGGTAGGTTCTAGAGTGGGCTCAAGAGAA